TATTTGGTTATTAAATTCCCTTTGAAAGTGAACAGAAGTCAGGTTAGTGTCTTTTTATTCTATCTTAAATTTCTGTGACTAATTATAATCTAGACCGAAAAAATCACATTGTCCAACTACTTCAAAATCTTTATATTTTCTTTCATTGTAGATATCAAAGTCTGGATTTTCAATAGGTGAGTGCTTATGTTTATCTAGAATAAATATGTTAATTGGACAGTCAAGCTTATCTCCTCACAGGGTGCAAAAATCTTTGATTTCCTCACTTCTGGAGATTGAATCAGATGATAATCAAGGACTCAAAAAATCTTGGAGCCAAAATGTCCTTGAGAAACCATCTGCTTTATTGTTTCCATTCTGTTGTTTATGTTAGAGTAATCCAATGCTAGTCTTACTGCTTAGAGTTAAAATGATTTTAGGAGAAACTGATTAGTTTATATAGTGGGTATAATTCGTATTTCCAGAGTAATGGCCTTATAAAGACTCCTCAACTGATGATATTTTATTGCATTATTAAAAACATAATTTTACAAATTTAAATACAATATTCTTAGTGATTAATTTCAAACATTAAGCCACTCTCAAAATATTCTTATTTCTCAATAATGAGCAGGGTCAAATGTGAGTTCTGTTCAATGATCTGTGTAGGCAGTGATTAAAATAGGGCAAACAAATGAGACAAGACAAACTATCATCAGATTGGTCATGGACAGACACTTTCTGAGTAAGAGCTGCTGTCTAGTAAGAGTGACAGTTCAAGTCTGCATGCCAGACCCAAGGTTGTCAGAAAGCAATATGCCAGACACCCTCAGATTCAGATGTCACAAAGAGTCTCAGGTAGAGGCAATATGATGCCTGGGACAACTTAATGGATAGTGAAACTCTCTTTGATGGCATCTGTGCTGGTCAATTGTCTGTTTGCTTTCAAACCAATCCCCTGCCTTCTTGCCCTTTCCTTTGGCTTCTGAGTAGATTTGGTCAGTGGCAAACTGTTGGAAGGCTGAGTGGCCAAAGGAAGATTGCAGCTACGGTACATCTCCCCACCAAAACTGTGGTGTATTCCACATGGTAAACGACCCCACTGGAGAGCCC